TCAACCAAAAGTGTGTGTATGTGTTTTTTCTGCAACACTTCTCAGTGCTACACATTTTTGAAAAACCGGAGACGGCGGAGGACGAAAAAGGGGACAAAATACAAAACGTCTCAAAACACTTCTCTGCGGTTCAGGATAAAAGCCGTGTTGTGAAGTGAAGTAAGGATTTTTATTTTTGACAAATAGCGATTTTTTTAATTTTTTGTGTGTTGCGATAGGAAACACACCGGTTACATCTGAAAGAGCAAGCCCTGGTGAAAGAAACCAGAAAGCTGAGGAATCTGAACGTTTTCACGCTTAATGTGTATACAGTAATGTTTCGTTAATATGGACCCCGTTAATATAATACACCGTTATGTGGACACCATTTTCGGGGACGAACTTGGAAAATACGTGAATTTTTGTCTCGTTATTATGAACAACACACATTATGAACGATCTTTTGGTGGAAGCGAGGTGTCTATATTAACGAGACATCACTCTACCTGATTTGTAGAAAAACCTGAACTTACGGATTTTAGGAAATGCCATAATTGATTCTTCTCTAAAAATGCCGGTACACGGGGTCAAATTCAAGGTAATGTGGCGCCAGAGGATGTGCAAGCGACTTGATATATGTTAACCAAATCGAAAAATTCCCATAAACAAAAACAAAAAAAAACCCAATGAAAGCAAGATTCTTAAAAGTACTAGAAACACTTACCTCTCGATTTAAGCATTATCTACCGGACTCATTTCTTGGACGGTGAATTGATGTAAATTTTCATTTAAAAATCCTTCCAAGCGATGTTTCTGCATTTTGACACGCCGCACACTTCCGAATAAAGATGGAGGCCAGAAAATCTCCGCAACGATATTGCTTTAGTTTATTTTAACGTGGAATGTGAAAGATGCAACGTTACTAGAACAACTCAGTTGGGAAACTTCCATAGAGCCTGCTCTGAAAACGTGACACCGATGCGTATTCGAGAACCGAGCTCATGGCGATCGCAACGCCGCCCTTTCTCCCGCAGCGGCCACTCGGGGATCTGCATGGCTTTGTATTGGTTTGGGAGTATCGCATTCGATAGCGTCCACTGTTCCTGTTCTATTTTGGCTCTAAACGGCCATTTTGGCGCCGAAACATATGCGGTGGACGGGGTTACACCCCCGTCTCCCAAGCGGACGCGCCACTAAATACTACTGAAGTTAGGACGCGCCCAGGTTGGGACGCGCTACCTCAAATCACCGTTGAGACATGGTTGCATAAAACAAAATCAATTGTGCCACGAAACCTTGTAAAATAAGGATATTAGAAAACAACACGCGCCTGTCATTCTGTATTAATTTTCAAAACAAGTTTCCACCAAAAAAGCTTTTTTTTTTAACGCAAATACATCCATTTCTTAAAGTTTGTGGCGGCCACAGCGAAGAAAAAAGATTGAGCCGCGATCTCGGCACCTCGAGCGCGGAAGTTTCGGTACTCTGGGAACAATCAGTGACTCTAGCAGTTGCCATATAAATCAACTTTCATGTTTCAAATCGTCGCTAAAGGATGGCGCTGTTATCGTATTTAGCTCGGTCTCGATGGGCGCCAGCGGCTCAGGTTTAAAGGGTGAGTTTCCCAACTTAGTGTTTCAGTAACGTTGGTAAGATGGAGGGCACTTAACCATTTCCGGTCCCCGACAAGGAACTGAAGTCGATACAACGACTGCCAGGCGAAAGCGGACGCAGCGCTCGTCTCATCACTGATTGGACATCAAAGCCAGCCGAACGTTTTCTTCGAGTGCCTCCGTGTTAACGAAAAGGCAAACAGCGCACAGTAAACGGAGACTAAAGGAAGTGCAAAAAGGAAAAGCGCTGACTCTCAACTGAACTTTAATAACATGAAAACAAAGAAAACAGCAACCCCGCCCACGTCACATGATACATTCACCACGTGTCCAAACAAAAAACCAATCTCTTTACTATTCAAGCCCAGTGATGTTTGGCTAAAGGCTGAACACCATGGAGCGAATTATGCTACAAATAACTGGCGAACGCCGCCCGATGGCACGCTCGTTTTGCGCGCGACGTGGCAGCCACTGCGCTGACTCCACGCGCAGAACAAAAACCGCCACGCGAAATTCGTCGATTTTTTTGCAGCATATTCGTCCCATGGAGTTCAGCCTTTAGGCAGTTCGCGCCTGCTTTGGTAATTGCATTCGCCTCTAAAATTTCTCTATTCACTCTGTCCCTTCCATTGCCAATGATACCAGTCTTACTGAAGATAGGTTTGCACCCACACCAATGACAATGCAATGACAGATGCCCCCCTACAGCTCCCACCACTGATCGCAATGACAAGTCATGCTCCCGCAGTCTGTGATTAACACATCTGCCCGTCTGACCAACGTAGGCTTTTCCACACGTTAGAGGAATCGTGTACACAACTCCCACCTTCCAAACAACATATTGATTCTCATGATTCACCGAGCCTGTTTGCACTTCCTTTAGTTCCGGTTTACCGTGCGCTGTTAGCCTTTTCGTCAGTATGAACCAACTAACCCACATCGCCACCCTTATTGAGTCTCCGTGTTACTCCCGGCCGGGAGAAAACATCACGTATTTAGACATACGGCGGCGTTCTGCTTCGTGAAACGAGCGCTCTCCAAGCTTCTCCAGAAGAAAACAACGCGAGAAAAAGCGACAAAAAATCATAGGAGAAAAACGAAAAAAAAAAAACCAACAAACAAACAAGCAAAACAAAAAACAAAAACAGACCTGCTTCTTTTGACGACGCGGGTAAAGGTATAGTTCAAGTTTTTTTGTCCTCTTTGCCGCAAACTGGCGCCAGGGCTTTGCTCGGCGATGCCTCGTTCTAATTGTTCTCTTTTCCGCACATTCCGTGTACTGTGTGAGAAAGTCGCGTTTACATTGCCATCGCGGAAGATGGCACGCACAAGAAAAATATCTACACACTTACCGCGCACAACACAGGGCTGTGTGCTCAGTCGTGTGCACAGAGCCTTCGAAGTGTGCTGCTTCCCGTCCTCAGCCGAGCGGGTGAGACCCTACAGAAAATGCTCGAATCTCTTGGCAGCACCGGATTCTGATATTCGCCCCATCCAATCTCCAGATTGTGTACACAGTTTTTTTTTTCTTTCTCCGCACTATCACATCGCATTATGTCTTATCACTTTTTTGACACACTCGTACGGTAAGAAGGAAAATATTCTTATTGGATCATAAACTAGGTAACTGTACGTCACTTCAACGTGCTACCGACACCAAAGAAAATAATAATTGCTGATAGGTAATTGTAACTATGAAGTGTTTTAAAATCTTTCCAATGGCGGTAATCCGTTATTTTAATAATGTCCTTAGAGCAAAATGCATTTTGGTTTTCTAAATACAATAAAAACGTATGTGCTGGAAGTTCCATCTCAACTGAGCAGCTAAAAAGATGGTTAAACTTACGTTGAATAGAGATGCTTGAGCGGAATTCAGCTCAATCTAGCCAAACGTAAAATAAAGCTGAATGAAATCTTTCAGGCAAATTGAAGGAGCCCGTCGCACGGAAACTTCAGCCAACTTGCGTTGTTCAGCCGATTTGAAGCTTTACCCGCATTGACACTTTAGCCGATATGGTGCGAAACCTTGTGGTTGCAAGCGGCAGAAAGGCGTGAATGAAAATAGAAAAGAAACGATACCGCTGAAACATAACCTATGTCTGCCGGGGTAAAGTATTACAAAACGTATACGTAATCCAAAGCACAAAAAGCACTATATCTTCCGGGTTCGGATAAGGTTACATAACCCGTAAAACAGAATAGCGTAATACGCATACCATTTAGACCCCTTTCAAAAATCACGTGTCCATTGTTAAAATGTTCGAAACACTGCACAATGGCGCAACAGCCGACACCACAGAACGGGAGATTCTAGAACTATGCAAGCTATAAATAAAGTGGCATAATATAGTTCCTAGTGTTCCAACATTGACGGTGTCCTTTGTGCCCATCATTGTGCATGGATTCCACAGCTTTCAACAGAGGAAATGCTACGCTCGTCATTTTTATTTGCTCCTCTTGCACCGGTGCAGGGAAGTGTAGGGAACCGCCTTCCGATATGTGTATAGACAGACAATCGGGAGTACATCGCCCTACACTTTTCTGGACCAGGGCCGGAGATCCAGGGAATTCGAACGGGTCTACTTTCGAAAGGGTTCTATATCAACTTACAGGCGTTCTTTTTCTTCTCATTGTTTCGTGAGCGAAAAGAAAAAGGTAAGGCTTTTAAATGAGATGAATAAAAAAAACATTTTCTTTATTTAAGGCAAGATAATACTGAAGTGGGCTGAACATGATTTACCCGACGTTGAGTTAACGAAGGGGAAGAGAGAACAAACAGACGCAGAAAATAAAGAAAGCTGTCTCTTTTGTTTTATTCGTGTTTCTTGTAGAGGGGACTCGCAGTTAGGAAAATATATATTTAATCCTCCCCAAGCAAACAACTGTGCTGAATTGAATAAGTATTTTCTACGCTGCGTAGAAGGCCGGTAAAAAAAAAGCGCATTTTATAGAAGTATGAATATCAAACTCGTGCTTGACTAATTTCGTACAGACGTGATGTTTCTGACGGCAATGACAACAGGGCGGTCGTACCGCCAAATCATTCTCAATGATTTTGCAAAATGTAAACACAGCAACCTCTCTCGGTTGGGTTTCGATGCCATCTGGCAGCAAAAGGTTGGCTCGTCCCCGGCGTCACGCTTCGGTGCCACTGGAATACGACATCGGGCAAACCTCGAACGAAACTACTTAGCGACCGCCAGCCAAACATAGCAATACACGATCATTCCATTCATCCATTCATTGTAAATGCTCGCGCTCTTCTTTATTTTTTTTTTTTTTTTTTTTTGAGGGGGGGGGGGGGGTGTGGGGCGACTTTTGTATACATATCGTGGTCTATATTAAAAAAAAATAAAGAGGAGCGTAATACAGGGAAACAAGTGACCGCACCGTGGCGGCGGGTCTTACCTCGGCGACTCGAGCGAAAACTCGGACGTGGAATGGGACGAGTTTCTCGAAACGGCCGAGGTGGCCGCAGCAGCCGCGGCGGCCGCGCTGCTTCCTCCGGGGCCCGTGACGGCCGAGTTCATGTAGCCGATGTGGCAGCGCACGTCCTTGGACGTCGTGAAGGCGCTCCTGTTGTTTTTGTCCGGCCGGAAGATGATGATGTACACGCGCGGCAGGAAGAGGAGTACGAGGGCCACCTCAGCCGAGAAGCTGATGCACAGACACAGCGTGATCACTTTGTGCTTGCTGCCGAAGTAGATGGGAACGAAGGCGGCCCAGATCACCAGGGTGGTGTACATGGTGAAGCCGATGAACTTGGCCTCGTTGAAGTTCTCGGGCACGTTGCGAGTCTTGACCGCGTACACGGTGCACATGGCGATGAGAAAGAAGTCAAAGCCCAGCGGCGCGATGATGCCCAGCGTGGTGGTGTTGCAGATCAACTTGACCCGGTCAAGGGCCGGGTAGGCGAACATGTAGTCGGGTGGCTCGAGCACCACCATGGCGCCGATGATGGCCGCTTCGACAGAGATGAGTAGCCACGTGATCACCACCTGCGAGCACAGGGAAAGACGTGGACCATGCGCAGACACGTACACGTTGTTCGAGGGAAGTAACAAAATACCGGTATTCGGTATTGTTATCACTAAAAGGTAACTAAATACGTTGCTCGTTACTGCGATGCAAAAAGCAGCGCTCCTCTTCGGCTTGGAAGTAACGCGCTTTTCTCGTGACTACGAATTTGTCGTTTTTATGGAACAGTAGCAGCTTCCAATATTTTTATCGTCGTTAATAATTCCTTGTTTCTTAACGTGTTCATTTAGGAATACCATTGGCTATACCGAATAAAAAAACTTTTGCGCATCTTTTTTATGGTCTGTACAGATCTTTGGCGCATCTTTTTACATATTTGTGGTCTTTTTATGATCTATCTAGCGTTCTCTCTTCATGCAGCTTACAGGCGCGAGCGAGAAAAAGGCTGGGTACTCGTGTTGTAAGCGTTCCACTATAGAAGTAGCTACATATCCTACTCGTTAACTTATCAAAAAGTAATGAAAATACTGTGCTCGTTCCTTTTTTTAAAAAGCAACTAAGTCGTTTCTTCGTTACCGAAAAAAAGGAGCTAGGTGCAAATTGCGCATTACGTAAGTCTGGCCACGCGAACAGTGACCGTTCCACTTAGACACGAGATTGGTGGGCTGCTGCTGCGTGTATCAACCTCAATTATTTTTTGACTGTCTCGGTAGATGAGTTGTGCACCGCAAAGTATAAGATACATTGCGCGATACTGTTAGCACGCTCACAACGTCGGCGCACTTTTGAATTTTGGCTTTTAAAGTGTAATGACGGGGATCAATTATTTTTTCCTCTGGGATGTGCGCCCCGAACGAGCATTTACCATCACGCAAGTAGTTTTGATACGAGCTTCTCAATTCTAAAAAAATAAACAAACAAAGAAAAAAGCACGATGATTGCTTGTTTGCGGTTAACCTGTTACATAGTGTACGTAATAATATATAATATTGTATATTGTTTACATAAATATGATAATACATTATTTTTCTATTCGTAAAATTTATTTAGCATAGTATAGGATATATTACGAACATTAGAACGTTCGAAGCAGAGTTAATATTCCACGGACCTCCAAAACCAAATGACTAATTTTGATGGCCTGATAATGCCCGAAACTGCGCTGGCGCTCTAGTACCGTGAGTGAGTTTTATTTGGTAGATTAGAAAGACATGGAAGTGGACAATCGGGGATTAAAATAACATAAAATGAGTTTAAATTTAAAAAAAACACGCTGGATCAATGGGCCAAGCGGATCGAAAGTCCCAAAAAGAAGGACGACCCCGCTCACCTGGGCTGTGGCACTCATGAAGCGCGGCTTCTTGGTGATGATTTTCTTCTTGGAGCCCGCGAGTATGCGGGCGATGCGGTTGGTCTTGGTGACCAGGGCCGAGTAGATCATGGCGAAGCTGAGGCCCGGCAGGACGCGGGTCACGAAGCAGGTGAGAGCCGTGGGCTTGGCCAGGAGCACGAACGTGGTGCCGTGGCAGAGGAACATGCCCACCAGGATGATGTAAGACAGCTCCCGCGTCGAAGACTTCACCACGGGGGTGTCGTTATGGCGGATAAAGATCACCATGGCTGCCAGTGTGGCCAGGAACCCAAGGCAGGCGATGGTCATAGCCGCAATCGACTGGCTGTCCGACCAGCGGATATACTCTTCAGGGATCCGGTCGCAGCCTGTCCAGACAAAAAAAAAAAAAAAAAAACATTTGCGTATTTTGTTTTTTAAACAAAACAGTTCGTTACGCAGCTAGACAATAAAGTAAGTGTAAATTGTCAACCGAGATACTGGAAATATCAAAGTAGCTCGCGTCTCACACAATTCAGCCTAATTAATTGTTTTTCACGCAGCAATTCACGATTTTTAATACACCTGTGTATTGTGCAGTAATTTCAAAGGTGCAGGTGCGAGCAGGAACCTCTTTTTAATGTATGTGCTAGCGCCAGTAGTTCTGACGGCATTCTGCACCCCTGGACAGCAGACGTTGAGATGACCCAGCTTGTTCAACTTTCAGCGCGTTGATAAAATTCACGCTTCGCATATTAAAGCGTGGAATGCTTTTTGACGCTACCCCCAGTCCCAAAATGTTGTCTCTCCGTCCGTCCGTCCGTCCGTGCATTTTCCGCTACATTTAGCGGGGAAAGTGGCGTCACGTGACGTCACCTGACGTCACCTGACCTATTTACCTAGGGGAAATTGACGGCACGTGACCTATATCAACTCAGAATCCCTGTTAAATTTAGCGGCCGAAATTGACGTTAGGTGACCTGACGTCACGTGACTTATACAACCATTCAGTTTCCCCTCTAAATCTAGCGGGAAAACATACGTCACGTGACCCACCAATTCCCTATAATGCATTTCATGCATTATAGGGAATTCCCTATAATTACAGGGAAGTCCCTATAATTATAATTATAGTCCCTATAATTATAATTATAGGGACTTAGAAGTTAAAAGTCGCTGCCCCTGTTTTCTTTTTTTGTGAGTACGGACACTCAGTGTTGTGCGAACGCAAGAGACGGGTGCCACAAGCGAGTGTTGCACTGTCGTTTGCTTCCAAGGGCCGCACGGCCACGGGGCACCGGCCACGTGTACTGGCGTCAGCCTCTTTGACTCTATTCGTAAGACACGCAAACACATCAAAGGGCTTTGGTTCAACTTTCGGCCTTTGGAGACGCACAAATTTCGTCAAGCTGCACGAAAAAACAGACAAATCGGAAGTTGCAGCGCCTCTGCTGTCTCAGTCAGCCTGATAATGTAAAGCACGCTTCCCTCGGCGTCGATTACACGTTCCCTGAAGCAATCACGCCAGAGCCGAGTGAGGGGTAGCTGTAGCAAAGTGCGCAGAGGGAACGTGCATTGATGGTAAACCCCAAACACGGAAAAACTAAGCCGAGTCGCGGTGGCGCCGCATTCTAGTTCGCATGTCCACCTTGAGCTAGTTCAACTTCCCTCTCTCAGGGTGGCCACAAATGCCTATTGGCTCTGACTTGGTCGTTCCAGCGCGCTTTGACCATGACTGTACACTTTGATTTAACGTAACTAAACATAAAACATGGAAGAAGAAATAGGACACATAAAAATTATAGGCTCACATTCCGTCTCTGGCATTTGATACGAAGGTTTAAAGGGAAGATGGGCACTTCTACATTTGAGAAAAAACGCTTGAATTGCGTTCATTTGGCCTTTAGATTAACAGATATCAAAATTGTATTTCAATGCGACGCACCGGAGAGCCATACGAGCAATTTCAAAATAGGACTGAAGCCCCGCCTCCCTAGCCTTGGGCAGCCAAAAGAGCCGTCGATGACGTCACGGACAGCGACTGTCTTTCGCGTTTTTCTCCCGTTTAACAATACTTACGCAGCAAATGGTTTGGGTATTCGGGTTCACGGGGTAAAAATACACTAGAATTCACTTCTAACTCATTTTTTCCAAAAAGCTCCGTAGCTTCCCTTTAAGGTAACCACATCTTGCAAAGATATGGCGCAAAGCTACAGAGCTGCGTCGCTCTACACGCATAAAGAAATGGCAATGCTGTGAGACACTTAAGAAAGAAAGCAGGTACTGTTACCAGTTAAGTTTTCATTGGGCCACCATCCCCTCTCGCAGTCCATGCAGGTGTACTCGTCCAGGACCACCTGGTTCTCTTTGCACTCGACGCAGTTCCAGCAGCACTTCATCGTCTCGGAGTGAATACTCTGTCGCGAAATAGGAGAAAATAAAACAGCACGTGAATATCATTGTACGCAATGATTCCCTCTTTGGACCGATTTTCAGAAGCTGTGATCGAAAGAAGCACATGTACTCGGCTTACATTGTACCTAAATATCTAATTTAATTGTTATTTTTAATTTTATGACTTACGGTAAAATAGAGAGCCACTAGAGAAACCAGAATACCTTGTTTGCGTTTTCAAGCATCATCAAGCTAAGAATACAAACAAAATATATTGAAATCCTTTAGACGGACATAGTTTTTTTTTTACGAATTAATTTTGTTTTATAGGTTTTTCCCGTATACATTAAGCTTGATAGAACGGTATTATTACCACTGTTGTCCAGTTATTTATATTTGACTATACCCTAAATAACCGTATTTCTGGTTACAAGTCATTGATTAAAAGCTTCTCCATAGACGTCATTCTGATTTCGAATAACTTCAAGTCGCTTAAACCTGGTACATGAGATTGAAGCGTGGCTTGAACTACCAGAACAGTATGCCGAAGACTGCTTTCTCAATTCCTTCCGTTCTCAAACAAATATACCGGAATAGAAAATAATCCGAATAAATTTATATCACAAGCTTCCATTCCACTTTTAATCGTTCCTTCTCATGGTAACATTCGAATAGTCATTCTCTGCGAGCTTAGTCGGTCACTTTCTCTACCACCGCTATATTATGCCACCCATCGAGCCACAGCGCCCTTTACAACCATAAGCAAAGAAACAAGTTCCAGCAATTAAAGCCAAGCAGAAAACAATACGGCATGCAAATTTGTTTGCTCTTTGCGCACGTCCCCTGTTTATGTACCCTCGAGATGTACCCATGTTTTTGCATCCTCCCTCCCCCCCTTCTCCCCCCGCCAACCTCAACCAATGGCGGTGCTCGATTGTTGGCTGCCCCGTCACCGAGCGCTCTCTTGGCCTTGTCTACACTGCCTTCCGATTGGCGTACCTCTCCTTGCGCTCCGATGCGCCAAAGACGGATTTTGGAACCCTCGCCCGCCGTATACTGAAGAAAAACCGAAAAAAAAAATAGTTTTCCTTTCGCGGTGGTGAGAGACCGTAATTATCGGAACCATTTCCCAGTCCCACTTTCACGCTCAGAGGCACACATTGACTGCGCGCTCTTTTTGTTTCTTGACTCTCCACGCGAGTGGGCGTCGCAGTGTATACCATGTGGGTGTGCGTTCCTGCAGTAACAATCTCGGCATCGCAAACAATCGGTTTGCGCCCAAGAGTATCGCGCGAGTAAGCACCTGACCCCGCCCACACGCCGAGTGGCGTTTCGCGGCCGGAGAAGCGTCAAGTGGGTCACCGTCACATGTCGAGTGGCCTGTCTTCTCGACAGCAAATCCGCAGCGAGCCGGTGGCCATACAACAGAGCTGGAACTCGAACCCCTTCATTATCAAAGAGAAGCTCCGCGCCAGCGGCGACAGTATCGACTCACCAAAACCGGCACAAACTCAACTCCGAAAGTCCGAGCGTACGTTTCTTGCTACCCTCCACCACAGACAAGAGGACCGGCGAAAGACGCGAGCCCAGAGACAAAACAGACAAACAAACCAACCCTCATGATTACGGTAGGGCCTTCCTCCCTAGCCGCTGGCGGAGATCCCGTGTTCCTCAGGCGTAACTCGTTACAGCGATTGTCTTTTATCCCGGTGTGTGCAGCGACGTGTCTCACGGCAGATCCGATGGTGGCGGTTGTTGTTTCGTGGCGGATTCTCGCCGCCTCGCCTCCTGCCCGGCCCCCAGCTCGGACAGGGGGCGCGCGGTCGCGTCGGCCTAGGGCCGGACCGGGGACCCCGGGTCGACGGGGTGGAGGGCGCCACCGACCCCGATGCCGCCGCCGCGGGGATGCGGGTGCGCTGTCGGCCAAACAGGATCTGACGGCTCAGGATCGAGCGACGCCGGGCTATTTTCGCCCGGCTGGCTTTCGCAACACGGGAACAGTCACGGTGATTTTCGAGGGGCTTCGCGGGATTGTCGGACCTGCTCCGCAGACAGCGCGGGTCGGGGAGAATGGGAGGCCTTTGTTTTAAGGAGTGAGCGTGGGAGGGCGAAAGACCGACGGACGGCGGGTGACGAGACCGGGACTGAAACGGAAGGAGAAGATAGAGCAAGGGAGTGTTTTCGAAGAATGAGTTGACGGCAAAAAAGAACAGGACATCTGGTCGCTGGAAGTGACTGAGTACAGCGTATGATAAAAACAAAATAGGCTATTGATTTCGCCATTTACCCTTTTTGGTCCCAGAGAGTTACGCTGATTTTTAATATCAAATAACAGATTTTTATTTCTTAAATATATTTTTGTTAACCGCGGGATATAAAACATTAACTACACGTTCTGGGAGGTATGTTGATTGGCAGCTTTAGAGGCGCAAGGCATTTAGAGTACCGAGCACCTTAGTATCGCGGTGTAGCCAACGATGCTCTGGCATTTGACGAGAAGAACGCCGATGAAACAAAGCGAAACAAGCATTGTGCGTGAAACAAGCATCGTGCGTATCGCAAGCCTACCCCTACGTTTATTGGGCTCTTGGTGACGATAAAAGCACGGTTGTTGTGACGCACAGAGATTTGCATTTCTATTCACGAAGAATTAAGTAGGCGCATGGTTATTCATATAGATTACACGCGTACGTCACTGCAAACACGTATGCATTGTGGAAGGTTCAAATGCACCTCGGGTACACTATATTGCCGGAGTAACATCTGAATTTCTCTGTCACCTGTGAAGGAGCACAGTAAAAAAGAATCTGTAGTTCAGGCTATTTTTATCTTTATTATCTCTTCAAGATACTCTGCTGTGGACGTCACCGAGAGGTTACACTGCACTTTAGCTGAGAACTGTATATAAAAGCAATACGTTTGCTGATCTTGCCAAAAAAATGTTCGCGAGAGGTTTTTTAGAGACGTGGAAAAGATGAGTAAATGTTTGGTTCGTGACTCGGTACACTCGTGTTTTTCCGATAAAGTTCCGAGCGTATGATGTGTAGCGATGGTCTACCTGCCAACCTGATATGGGCGCGAGTTCATTTCTCTGCATATTTCAGGGCATTGATTTCAATCCTTCAAGTCAACATTTTGACCAAATTCCCCGCAAAATAAGAAAAAGTAAAAGAAAGAACTTACTAGAAATTTTGCAAAATAAGCTTGCCACGGAATATTAAGAAAGCCATTATTGCAAAATCCTTTGATGATAAATTTATTTTGCAAATAAAATATTTAGGGAACGTTATTAGCTACGAGTTTTCGACAAAATGTTTGATTTCACGAAAAAAAAAAAAAAAACTTGGAAAAGAAAACGTATCATCTTGAATTTAGGTCTGTCTGATGGAGAGTGAGGAGCACGATATGAGGATTTGAGCTAAAAAGGGAGTTTCGACTTAGTTCCCTGAAAACATAAAGACGCGTTATATTCGCTCAATAACAAGCACTAAAGACGTGTCTATGAAATGTATCCTCCCCGGCCTTGTGCTCGTTACTTGAAAAAAATGTAATGGATTACAATTACAAAGTACCAAGCCTTAAATATAAAGGATTGCCGTTACAAATTACTTTCGCTGAAAAGTAACGGGTTACTTTACTCGTTACGTTACAAATTATTTTCGCGATACTTTTTCCGCACACTTATCCAGAAAACAATAAAACAATTTTGATATTTGTCAAAGACGTTCTGCAACACTGCTTTTCATTTCTCATACGCCCGTGCACGTATTATGGCAGTCCGTGTAAGAATAAAAATTGTATTAAAGAGAAAGAGCGTAGGTGCACTCCGCTCATCTCTAAGCTGACAAGGCACCAAAAGCTGCAACCACACCCGCCATCCCGCTAACTTACGGCCACCGGAAATGATCCCTGGAATTGTGCAGGTAAAGCTGGCGGTGCTAAGTAACAGCGTCTACCTCCGCTACGAGATTCGGAGCTAAAGAAGCGATCTACGAAAGCTACCTTTTGACTCGGATGCTTCGCCTGTTATTCACAAGAAATAAAAAAAACTTGGTTCTAACGTTTCTAATGCAGAATTCAGGTGTCCCAGACTACCTTGATCTGTTTTCGTAGATTAGAGTTTGTTGTTTTTGCTAAAGGCAACGTGTATTTTTGGCAAGCAAAGTATGCACTGAAACTCTATAGGTTTCCGTTCTCTTTAATTCGCTGAATTTTGAACATCTAATAAAGAAATAACCATGGTGACGACGAGCACTTCATGACCGAAAGCTCGACCATCAGAGAAAAAGTGGTGGTTATGGGTTATCGATCTTTCATCGGTGCTCACTTTCATACCAATATTCGTGAAGGCCAGGGGGGTGGAGGGCATAGAGAGCGAGAGAAGCGGTGGTCATCGGTCTCACAAAACAATAGAGGATCACACCACTTTTACGCGTTCTCTCTCTCTCTCGCTGTGTCAGCAGTCCTTATATGGCCTAACCCCCCCCCCCCCCCCCTTTTATGTCGATGGTTGACTGTAAAGTCAGGAATGGATCCGACCACCATGCCCAGACAAGTAAACCAAAAGAAGTATCGTCCGTACCCTTTAAGGCGATGCTCCTAGTCTCGTGTCGGGCGCTTTTCAGCCGTGCCTCAAAAGTGTGCTAGAATACAGACAAAGAGAATTCGGTCCCCTCGCTCGAGGCTACAGCGTCTTTTACACGAGTTGTAAACTCGCGAATCGAGGTGGTACGGAGCCGCGTTTGACGTCTGTGCAGGTGGCAGGAGACGTCGCTGATGTTGGAAAGGGTGAAACGGTGTAAAAGACAAATACAAATAAACACGAAGAGCTTTCTCCTGCCCGGGAGAAGGAAAACAGGATGGAAGGCGAAGGAGAGCCTACTCGGCGTTGTCTTACTTGATTTTTGTCTTTCGTATATTTGTACATGCCTTGCTCGTTTTTATAGTGGTTCTAGAGACCGGTAACACAAAAAAAATCGTGTTTTCTTTTCGGCTTTTCTTCCCTTCCTGATGCTTTCTATTTTGTCCAACTTGCTCTATTTATGCTGCTGAATGTTCTGCTCGTATTATGCTCCCATTTTTAAAAAGTAATGAATAATTAAAGTCATCCGTTACCAAAATTTTGTAACAAAATTACATTACAAATTACTTCCGAAAAAAAGTAACGTGGCAATTTCAAAATTACTTGAAAAAGTAGCAGATTACAAGTAATCCGTTTCTTGTAACGGATTACTTTTTAAGTCGTACTGCCCCCCCCCCCCCCCCCCCAAGCCAAAGGAAATAAAAAAGAACAAAAAAGAGGAATTGCTGTGGCTTTTTTTTTTTTAATAGAACAAAAAGAAAAAAGTAGTAATGATTGTAAGTTATGTGTTTTGAGACATTACTTCAATGAACGAACGGAACGCACCCCCAATGGTACACTGAAGTGTACCATATCGATGAAATTCAGCAGTCGTTAGGACAGAGCATCATGGGTGCACAAGAACGGGCAGAAAAGAAGCCTAGAGACCCACCTTCACTTTCCCCTTCTCGCAGGGCAGGGAGCATATGGAGATGGGCGGGTTGACTTGCGCCCTGTTCCACTGGACGTCCCCCGTCATGCGCATCTCGCCGTTGATCCACGAGCCTACTTGGACGTAGTCGAAGTGCTGCGTGCCCGGAAGCTTTTGGTAGTTCATCAGGTCGTACCTGCACATCGCACGATTGCAAGCACGACATTAAAAAAAATTGTAAAGCCCATTTACTTCACGTGAAGATGAAGGACCAGCAAAGCTGTTATATTTAAGACGACTTTACGAAAACTTTACGACGACTGTACTACATCTATACGATTTACATATTATTGCAATGAAGCCACGTACGCGACTTTCTTGTTTAATTGTCTTTATTTATTTCTTAGTGACTTAAGTAATCAGTGCCTTATGGTCACTAGGGTAAACCGACATTGGTTTTATTTCGACTTCGGATACGCTCTTGCTAAACGTGTGTTCAATACACGCTCTGTTGTTGGTCGTTGGTATACGTACTGTATACGTATTGGTATGCAACTATATTGTTTTACAGCGACTTGGGCACTTTGTCAACGATGCTGATAAAGAGCCCAAGTCTCTTTACCAGAATCGCGGAAGCGAAAGAAAAGAAGGTTAGATCGGCGCGTTCTGCCCTCAGTCTCGTCACGGCGCACTCTTAGCTGAGATAAGACGGTGACCGTAGATGATAACAAGGGATCAGGACCTCACTATACTTCGTTTCAGCTTCGGTCCGAGCGCGGCCAATGTTATGAGCCGAAGGGCCAATCAAACAGCGAAAGAGGCAAACGTCATGGCGTGCTCTCTGTAGTTGATAGGACCAGCCGGTATTCCCCAAGTCTCTGTGCGTGCTCCACCGCCGGCTAGTCCTATCAAGCGCAGAAAGCACGCCATGACGCTGCGCTTTTTGCGCTGTTTGATTGGCCCTTTGGCTCATAACATTGGCCGCGCCCGCACCAAAGCTGAAACGAAGTATATCTAAAAATGCCAATGAAGGCTGACTCACGCGGGTTGCCTCCTCTTTTTATTTGTGCTTGCTACGACGAATCGGAACGAAGGAGCGCCATTTAAACGGGAGTTTTTGTTAACATCCATGGACGCATTTTTTTTTCAGGTCCTAACACATAACAGTTTCGCTGTAAGAGGTGTTTCGATAGAAGAAAACGAAAAAAAAATATGCGGTTCATGGCAAGAAAAGCATCTGAATCTACTTCTCGCAAACCACTGGGGAGAGCAATCGGCGATATCTACGAATTCGGCCTCAATAAATAAAACTTTACCACCGAAAAATAAAACATTGCTATTTCACACTGGGCATAGCATTTCGGTGCTTATTTAATGTACAATGTCGCCTCCCGCTCCAGATAAAGTTCCTTGATAAGAGCTGCACCTCGGGCTTATTACAAGTAACTCTTTGAGGCGCCGACTGCGGGACGGTGTGGGTTTTAGGAAGCTAATGGCGCCGCAGAGCAGCAGAATGAACTGAAAGGCTCCATTTTGTTCCAGAAACCTGAGTTTTCTTATGCGTGCCAGTTGTCGTTACGTGCAAAAATAAAATGAATCTACTGAATTTTTGTGTTTGCGATTCAGTTTTAAAACAAAATGCGTTTAAACCCTCGTCATTTGTTCATGTCAAATCTACAAATTGTAGTGGTCAGCTGTCCACTACAATACTGTTGGAAGGTACTGTATTTGTCCAAATTTCTTTCTTTTACGTAGATTCAAAGACGCACACTTAGCAATGCTAATATCCAAGTCAATTAACTTTCTGCCTCGTCAAGATAAGAATACCGTCTTCTTAGTGGTTCTCGAATCTAACGATTCTTGGGCTCTCTGTCCCAAGAATCTGCTCCCTTGATTTGTTCGGATACTTTTTGGACGTATCCTTCCCGCCACAAGCACGCGTTCCATTTGTTTCGCCTCAACTATACAGCTTTTCCACAAGGGCGCAGCCATCTTGAATGTAGTCACTTCTGGTGCGCAGTGAAACGTCGTTTTGATCTCTCTACGCCACTCACGGTGTTTACGAAGAATGCGTGATTTCGTAAACACCTTCTTGTTTTGCCTCCCATATATTTTCTCGCGTATCCCAGGTTGAAATGTTTAAATTATTTTGTCCCACCTACCAGGTACGGACGGAACCCACGTGATTGAGAACGACAGGAAACAGAAAACGTCTACATCACTCGTTTTTCTTGTCTTTCCATTCGACACTTAAGTCGAGGTCAATGTGTCAAATAGACCCTCTTCAAAAGTTCATCGAGCAACATTGATGGTCGCCATTTCTTGAGTTTAGAAAGGCGGGAGGTACCATACGTTAGTCTTTTTAGACTTAGGCTGGGTGGCGCAAGCTACCGACCGTCACAAAGGGTATAGCCATTAACATTCATCTATCCATCCATCCATTGGGCACGAAACGCGTGATTGGATCCGAGTCCCCACCGAATGATGACGCAGCTTTCGGGTCCATTACATGCTCATGGTACGTGCTTAAGCAATGGCAGTGACGCGATGGCGCCGGGGTTTGGCAAAGGTTCTATTGGTATCGGCAATTTTTGTATACAACGACAAGGCTACTCCGCCTCAAGGTGTGGTGACTCGTGATCCCGTTGCAAATTCACTGACGTTCAGTGACGCCTATTTGTAATTGTAATGTCTGAGGAAATTTATATAGTTTTGTGTAAGCTACCTACTAGTTTGTGTATGGACTTTAGCTTAACCGCAATCGATATGCATCAGTGGATCTAAGGAACGTCATAGAAGAAAAAAAGTGAAGGATCCGCGAGCGTGTATGTGGAATATTCATTCATATTAAGCATTAAGATCACTTTCGAGAGGAATCCTTTCGGCCCTCGCTATTTCCAAATTCGTATTTTAGATTTAATTTTAAAAAAAAATTCTGCACGCATTATTTGCGGAAATATTTCAAACGCTGAACAGCCGAGTAACCTATTCAAGAACACACACGCATGATAGCGGTACTCCTAAAAAAAAATAATGTCCAGACCGCGACAGGCTTACCGAATAGCCAAAGACTTTCGGGAGCTACTTCCCAGCGACGTACTACTTCCTACATAATGATCAAGTGCGCGAAATAATAGAAACAATGAGCGCAATTTCTATCGGCACACACATGTGTGTGTATGTCTTTCGACACACACACACACACACACACACACACACACACACACACACAAACAAACACACACACACACACAGGCACACACACACAGGCACACACACACACATAGTAATATCGTAACGCCAAGGTGTCTCGTCTCTTGGTGCGATCGCGATATAATGAAGAAACGCCAAACCCCATTTGAGCACGACAACAAAGCGTCACAGCTAGCAAAAAAAAAAAAAGTTTGAGACATTGAACAATAGCGGAATCTCGTTTGCAGCCGCTTTCCCGTACCGTAATTAGACCGCACTAATTGCCCCTCCGGAACCAAGAGCACCGGGAGCCGAGACGCCATACGGTAAATGGGCGTATATACGCAAACACCAAAAAAAAAAAAAAAAAACACGCCAAGTCAGGAGTGCGCAGCTTTGATATCTTGCCTCGGGGCTTCCTTCCCTCAATGGAGGGCCGCACCGCTACATCTTTAATCTTCGGCGGTGGCGGCGTCAGGCGAAGCGAAGGCTCCCTCCGCAGACGCCGTGCGCTGTTCCTTCAGCCCATATCGTCGTCGTAGTCGACGGAAGCAAAATCAAGGCCTAACGAGCTCAGCGGCACTGAAGTCGAGTTTCGCGGCTATACGCTACCACCGAGGAGGGCGCGATAACGGGCCTAGTCGTACATAATAATTTTAGAGCGCCCATAGCTCTCACCGGTGGATTCTTCTCACGTCTTCCTCTCTCTCTCTATCGTTCCTCCTTTTTTTTCTTTATCTCCTTTTCTCCACGATCTCACCGTTCTTTCTTTATTTTTATTTATTCTTTTTTGTATGTCTCGACTTGCTTTTTTTTGCAGTCACACGCTCCGGACGTTCATCGCACTTTTATACTGTGTTCCTCTGACAGTTTGTCATTCCTGGTCCCCATGCCATGACCGATTCTAATTTTGTTTCGCACTTTTGTCTTACCTTTTAGTTCAGCTTTCCTTGATATTTTCTGTTTACATTTATTAAAATATAAAAAAAGGTTAGATTCCTCGTTAACGTGTCGCCGCCGTCTTGTGAGCTCACTTCGGCTCTACCGTTCATTAAAGAAAACGAAAAAAAAAAAGCGGTCGTTCTAGCATTTTCTAAGCAGTCTAGATGTCCGTTCTTTTTATTCTATTATTTTATTTCGCTTTTTCCAAGAAGAGATTCCGACGCTGCATAGATAAGACTATTTTGTCGTTTCTTTAAATCACTTTGGTTGTAGAGCAATTGTTGAAGCCGAAAGGTGGTAATGTGTAACGCGGGAAGGCAAGCGTCGCGAGCGAGCGCGACAGTACCGAGAGAAAGACACTGATGGAAGCGCCAAAGTAGAAGACGGAGGCAGGAGGACATGGGTCGTAAACAATACACATAAAACAATACCCGGTTCCTCGTCACGTCCCGCAAATAAACCACCGCGATAGCGCAGAAGCTGCACAATTAGACTTTCGTGACGTTACGACATCACGTGATTATCTGACATCACGCGGCACCATGACCTCACGTGAAAAAATGTTCCCGCTTAATTTAACAAACACATTTTTCCCTGACGTCACGTGACATGACGTTACGTGACAAGGCATTGCTGACTTCACAATGTCACGACAATGATTCTCCGCTGAATGTAGCGAGGAAATCTTCCCGCTATTTATTCGCGCTTTGGGCGCGTCTTGTATCCAATTTTGTATACACGGTATTGTTTAAAGGTTTTTGTTGGAGGTATGAAATGTATCGTTTCGTTAAATGTTCTGCCTCCCTGCCACGTCCCACGGGCCTGTTTAATGTACAAATAAAAAAAAAATAACTTGCTTAAACGGTCTCCCGATAAGCATAGCGGACTAGGACTTACGCACACGAAACACACGAGGTATCCGTAGTGAAACTTCGCCAACAACGGCTATCGCCGAAAGAATGAAAGGATGGGGAGACGAAAAAAAAAGCTAGAGATAAACAGGAGCATCAAAACTCCGAGTCCTGCTCCTGCAATGAAGGGTGTGAAAGTAGCGACCGAGTA